CTTCATTCAGTCAAATACCACCCCATTCCACACCTCAGCCACCACAACAGTGGTGGATTAATCCTTTGCATTAATTGCCTGCTCTACAACCAATCAATCAATCAGTCAGCTTATAGCCTGAATCTAGATACTTTAAAGTTGTCTTCTCCAACCCAGTAGCTATGCTTGAAAAACAAGGGGTCAAATCCCACCCCCTCAGTCACTGAGTGACACTAGGCCTGTCGCTCTCTTCATGTTAACCAACCTCACAGGATTGTAATGAGCATAAAATGGGGAATCTTGCAAGGGGGATGGGATAAAAGTGCGGTAATAATTTTAAAGTGCATCTTCCTTTTCGTGGAACAAAAAGTATGAGTTTCCAGATTGAGACACTCTTTCTTTTGCCTCAACTTGTTTCAGGAGACTGATCAGTAGATTTTCAAGCCTTTTGGAACAAAAATGAACCATGGGGTAGAATGGGAGAACATGTAGCTTTCCAGATTTTATTGGGATGCAACTCCCATTAGTCTAATAATCATATCCAATGGTGAAGATTGACAGGAACTGCAGGCCAGATTGCAGGCCAGCTGTTCAGAATATTCACAAAACTCTCCTCCATCACCATGTTTTGAACACATCAATTTTTCTTCCTGTCACTGTCCAGATTTCAGATTCATACATGGTAATCAAGAATATTACAGTGTGGATGATCTTGACTTTGGTCTCCAATGAAATGTTCTTAGACTTGATGATCTTTTCTAGTTCTTTCATTGCTACTCTTCCAAGTCCCAGTTTCCTCTAATTCCTTGGCTGCAGTCTTTATTTTAATTAATGATTGAGTCAAGGGATGGAACTTCTTTCACAAATTCAATTTCTTCACTACTGACATTAAAGTTGTGTAATACTTCTGTCATCATGACTTTTATTTTCTTAATATTCAACTACAGCCCTGCTTTTGCATTTTTTTTCTTTCACTTTCTGCAGGACTCATTTCAATTTGTTGCTGCTTTCTGCCAATAATATGGTATAATCTGCACTATCTAAAACTGTTGATACATCCTTTTGCCTATTTTCACTCCTTCCGATCCTAATCCAGCTTTCCATATACATATTGTTCTATATACAGATTGAACAGTTATGGACATAATGTACATCCTTGTCTGATACCTGATTCTGTCTTAACACTTGCTTCTGTTCCATGATATAGGTTATGCATGAGGACAATCAAGTGCTGAAGCACAGCCATTCCACACAGTCAAAGGCTTTGCTGCAGTCTATACAGTATAGATTCAGCTTCTTCTGAAATTGTCTGGTGCCCTTCTTTCGGTGAAATTATTTAATTGAAATTCTTTGAATCCTTTCTTTTCAGAAACCAGCAGGAATATCAGGCGTTTCTCGCTGCAGAATATTCTGTGCTGCAACACCTTGAGCATACGTAACCTTTCCTGTCTGTGGAACATTGTTTCATTTTCCACATTTGTCAGTATTTTCTGGTTAGGATTTGGACCAATTCAGCCTCTGCAGCTCAAAATAGTCTGACTGCTACCCTATCTATTTCAGTTGTTTCATTCTCTCCTTTGATGTACACCTTAATAAGGTGAGGGTATTTGGAAATGTCAGAGAAACAGCTAGTCTGGTCATGCAAGTTGGAATGGTCAAAGCTGAGACACCAGACTAAGACGCATCCACCCTCTTATGCACAGAAGAGAATGGAATGGTGATGGGGGTGGGAGCGGAGATATTCCTGAAGGGTGGTTACTTGGTAGCAAAGCTAGTTGAAGAAAGCACTGGTAGATGATCTTTCGAAGACAAAGGCAGTGAAGCATGAGCTAACTCAGGTTAGCACCCTACAGAAGAAGGCAATGATAAGCCACTTCTGAATATTTCTCACTTTTTAAGCCCTGTGATGAAACAATCTAAAATGAAACAAAAATATATGGAGGGTCACATATTTCCCAATTACTGACATTGGGAAATGCTCTAAGGTGGCTAATATACACAGAAAGGAACAGGATTGGCTATTTCCCCCACATCCTCTGCTTACCATTGACCAGGCCAGTCACAGCTTCTGAATTCAGAATGGGGACCTCTGTCCCCACTCTGATGCAGCCATCATCAGCCCCGAGTAAAGAATAATGGAATGACAAATCTAGACTCATTAGCCATTAGACAAGCCTGTCTAATGATCCAGCCTGTCTTCTAACCAGCATCTGTGCTTTCTTTGGACCTTGTGGGCACAGCTGGCCACTGGGGTTTCTGTGGATTTGCCCTGCTTGCAAAGTCACTTGTGGTATCATTTATTTAATAGCTGACGGTTCCTAGGTGGCTCACAAAAATTAAAGCCATTAAGCACAAATTAAAAACGGTATAAAATCTTCCAAAACTTTAAACAAAACAAAAAACAGTCATAGTAAAAGCCAGCAGCAGCACGAGTATCTAAAACTACATTAACATATTGAAAAGCAGAACTGGAGAACTAGAAAGTCTGTGAAAATAAAAAAAGGGTTTCTCTAATGTTGAAAAGACCATAATGTAGATGCCAGGCAAGGTCATTTCACAACTTTGAATGTCCAGCAACCACTGTCTACCTCATGTCATTCGGGGGGGGGGGGGCACCTGGGAAAGGGTCTCCAAAGATGATCTTAGGGTCTCATTAGGTATATGTAGAAGAAGACAATCCTTCAGGGAGTCTGGCTCCAGGCAAGCTCCCAAAATTCATACAGGCTCTTTGAACTGAGCCCAGAAATGAGCTGGAAGCCAGTGCAGAACACTGGCACAAGACCTTTTCAGGCTTCTGAACACCAGAGGTGGACAGTTGCACCTAAGCATGCCCAAGCACTTGAAATCAATATTCCAACAATTTTCTGTCTACGGCTTTGCCATGTACAAGGCAATCGTGCCCAATTTCCTCAGGCAAACAGCAGCACAGTCTGCTTCCAGCCCATCCCAAAGATTTGTCTTCAGAGGGGTAACGAAATTGGCCATGTCTACCTCATGTCTAGACAGCCTTTCCCTGTCTCCCTTCCTGCTGAATTTAAAAGCTTGACGTTGCACATCCTCTCAGAGTTTGTCAGTGTTAAAAGCATGTGCTGTGTTCGCAGAAGAGATTGGGGAGCGGGGGGAGAAGGCGGAAGAGTTCTGTTTTGCCATATGCATCACGTCAGATTCCAATGCCCCATCGGTTTTCAAATGCAGTTTAATAGACCCATTAAGTTTTCTCCCTCCCCTTTTATTCACAGCATCCACTTTCTTCAAGAAGAAAGCCTGCAAGGTCTAATTACACCTTGCAGTCCCACACACAGAGTGCTCTAGCATGTGCGATTACTGCTCTGATGCATAACATTTTCCTTTGGAAGCACAGTGGGAACATGGCAAGATGAATCGATTCTGTGAAATTTAAACTGATTAGGTACGAAAACATTAGGTCATCGGGCACCGACCTCCAACAGTCTGCTTAAAACGCAGCTGAAAACCCAGAAGTGGCCCCCTACCAATGTTTAAAGTAAAATTAATATGTTGCTTCCCCTCTCAGCACATTGTGCCTCTCAGCTGAAAAACAACTGCAAAATGCTATTCTCCTGTCCCTTAGCAGTGCAACAGCCACATAATTTTTGGTACGGATGCAAGCCTTTTTCTTCCCATGACCACATTCATATGCACAAGCACACACATGCCCATGCACACATAGGTAAAAACCACTATCTGGGAAACATTGGCTCTGATTTTCCACTGTCAATGCTTGTCTTTACATGCCATGTTTACCAATACAAATCTACTAGGAAGTATGTGGACTTTTTTAAAAAAGTCAAAAAGGGAAGGAGATGCAGAGAGTGGCTTCCCAATAGCTTGATTCACACATAACACTCCAGAGCATGGTCCAGTTTGAACAACACACCACAGTGGCATGTGTGCATAACAGAAACAGGGCTTGCCATTGTGTGGAAACCTAGCCACCATGGATTATTTAAGGATTAAATAAACCCTAAATGATGCTGCTGTAAACTAAGGATTGTACAAGGGTTGCTTGACCCTTACATAACCCTTGGTGGCAAATCTCACCTGAGGGCTGCAAATTAAAAAAATGGTGGGAATATATTGAAACCTGAGAATATACAACTAGAGACTTCACTAGTATTTCCATCTCTTTCCATTCTATACACTTACATCCTTCTTTTCTGTCCTTTTTGTTATTAGTTATTAAATGTTAGTATTGGGATATAGGGAAGTTAGCTAAGATATTATTCAGCTAAATCTCTTTGCTTTAAATGGATCTACTACAGATATGACAAAGTCTGTATCAAGCTGAACACATTTCTTACATTTTTTCTTCTAGAGAGCTCATAGAGACATATCATGCACTATTTCATAGCACTCATGCTGTCTTCAAAGTTGTTATTATGCCCCAGTTCACACAACCACTGCAGCTTAAACAAAACACTGTGGCTTGTTCATGCTGAAGTACATGCCAGCACATGCCAGGTGCCATTTGTCTAACTAGCCCCCTGGTGCAGCTTGTCCTATCATCTGATTCTGGGCAGTATAGTTTACCTGAGTGGGGAAAAACTGCCACATAACTAAAGGCTTCCCTATAGCCTGAGGTACCTGATCCTGCCTAATCATGGAAGCTAAGCAGGGTTGCACCGGGTTGACATCTGGATGGGTGACTTGAGCCCTGCGTTGAGCAGATGGTTGGACTAGATGGCCTGCGAGGCCCCTTCCTACTGTAAGATTCTTTGAACCCATGGCCACTTGTTGCCTTATGACAAGCTACACCCAGACAGTAATCAGGCAAGACAGTAATTAGGTAGTTACCATGCACCGGGTCTTAAACAAGCCACCATGATTTCATTGAACTGCAGTGTTTGTGTGAACCAGATCACCATTTCCTGTATCAAAACCTCACAAACTCTGCAGGTTCCCATATTTGATTATGGCACTACAGACTATATTACTGCTACAACAAAGTGTGTGCAGTCTTGTTATTAGGCTAGAACACACTAGCTAAAAATTACATGACTCACAGCCTGATGAATTCCACTCTTCACTTGTTCACTCAACATGCCTTCAAATACAAAGGAATCTCCAAATCTTTCAGCCTGCAAAAAAAAAAGGGGGGGGGGGGAGAAAACAAAAGTCGATCAGATTTGAACACTTCCTGCCCTACTGTTTTATTCCCAGATTGCCAGAAGAAGAAAGCATCAAATTAGGTAATTAAGTGCACAATGGGCTTTATTTAATCCTTCCTAATAGCAATTCATAGTTTGTTGTTAAAAGGAACAATGTACAATATGGCAAACTTTCAAGGGATAAAAAGATCACTTTGCTCGAAGGATATCATTCCTAAAATTGTCACTGAGATGAAATACAAACTCTGATTAGAAGAACAGATGGCAGCTGCTAGAACCCCTGTAAACATTTCCTCTTCCACTGACTGAACTAACGTTTCAAATGGCCTAAATTTCACTATTAAAAAGAAGAAAAATGTGAATCATGAGATAGCAGGCATTCCAGAACAAGACCATCTAGCCCTTTACAATTTGGCCCATCTCAAGAGATACTTACAATTAAAGATTCCTATTTTACAAATGGGCGAAGTGAGAATGAAAGTGACAGTTTGATCAGAACCAACTCATGAGTTTCTTACTAAGATAGTATTGCAAGACCAACAGTTCCATGAGATTGAGCTTTTCTTTCAGTGTAACCTGTCTCAAGACCACAATAAATGGTGTCGTTAGTAATGCAAGTCTTTCTAGGGTGAGGTCAGAAGTCTATGGAACTAAAATGTTCAGATGTACACTTTCTCAGATATATCCAAGGACAGAGGATCTCAGTTAGCAGGTCTGGGAAACACCTCTGTCCAAGAACACAGAGAGCTGCTGCTAATTAATCAAACTAGGGACAAAGCAGAAGGTGGTTCTCCAGGTATTTTGGATTTCAACTGCAAGATGGCCTTGCCAGCATGGCCAATGTCAGAAATGCTGGGATTTGATGGCCAAAGCATTTCATTTATATACCAATCAGTGGCCAAAGCACTCAGGACAGTTTACAAAGATTAAAAGCCTAAATACACAATGTATTCATCTAACAATAAAACATTTTTGTACACACACACACACAATTTTATCAATCAGCCATAAGAAAGCCCAGAACTTGTAAAAAAATCCTATCAAATGTTGTCAAATATCTACAAGCAAAGAAAGGAAGGTCTTACGAGGGCACCAGAGAGATTACAATATTAGTTCAAAATGCTCTTTGTCCAAGTCTAGACTGGTACTGTAAGGCCTGTAGCAGAACCTAGTATAAGGTAGCTTCATGTGTCTGAAACAGCAGGAACAGGCACTCTGATGATCTTAAACTTGGGGTGCCAGCATTGTGCCTGCCAGGCTCCAAGCCTCTCCAGAGTATTTTATTTCTGAAGAGACATATTTCAATTATTATTATTTATATTGAGGGGCTAACATGCTGCAGGGTGAAATTCTGTCCTCCAGGGTCACCTTTATTTGCATTCAAAGAAGTGATTCTTTGGAGCTCAGGCCCCTGTACTTACACTCCTGGGCATGTTCTTTTTACTTTTTAGTCTTACCAGTTTGCCTTCTGAGAAATGAGTGTTTTGAGATGAGCCGTGCCCACCAAGGCAGCCGTTTTATGAATGGGCAAACTCCACCCACTGGATGCCATTTTGTAAGTGCACTTGACTTGACAACTGCTGTTGTGTTGTGTAAACCCAGACCATTTCCAAAAGGGTAGATTGCTTGAGGGGAATAAGTTACCCTGTCAGCACATAGCTTGTTCTAGTGTTGGTTTCACCCATAATGAGTCAAGCACATCATCCATCGTAGGTGAAGGGAATGAACAAGAAAGCCACTTGGTCAAAGCATCAAGGAAGCCTTCCTACCCTTGCCAAGCTTGCCCTGGCCACTGCCGAGACAGTTGCCCCACAAGAGCCCAAGCGCCTGATCGGATGTCCCATGCTGTGATCACAAGCCAATTTCAGCTCACTGGGGCTTGTTCCCCCTTTATACTTTTTTCCTAAGTTCATGAAATATATTCTTGTATAAGTTCCAGTAGAAAAACCAAACCCATTGCCTTTTCAACCCAGTTGAACAAGGAATCCAGAGTTTTGACAGCTAGATTCCCAAGAAAAGGGGGTGGGATATATTTTTGTGCTTTCCTGAGCAGCTGGGCTTTGGAGAAAAGTGGAACTTGTGCATAAACGTAAAGACTGTCAGGCGAAGGAGGAGGTGGCTCTTGCAGTAAAGGGGATGCACACTGCACCACCCCTTTTCTGAGATCTAAGATCATTTGCGTCTTTTTTCTCCCTTGATAGTTTACCTTGTGACAGCTGGAGAGAGAGAGAGAGAGAGAGAGAGAGAGAGAGAGAGAGAGAGAACTAACCCTAATTTGGAGCTTCATAGAGTCACAGAAGAGTGCACAATTGCACAAGTGTAGCTAAAGCTTTTTGAGAAAAAAAATGAAAATATTTGTACAGATTGAGGTTTTAAGTGATATTTAAAAATACATGCCAGTCCCTGATAGCTCCTGCAGTCTCCACTCCAACATTTTGACAGCTATCGGTGGCTATCAAAATGGAGTTTGTGAAAGCTGGTTATCAAGCTGGGTTTTGCAATCTCAGGAAAAATGGGAAAGCCATGGTAAGTTAAAACTGGCATGCAATCCAGGAGAGGAGAGGAGAGGAGAGGAGAGTAGAGGAGAGGAGAGGAGAGGAGAGGAGAGGAGGTCCCTGGGATACCTGGAGAAGGACTGAGGGGAAGGAGGCAGTAAACAACTCACAGCAAATCTTACAGTCTGTTGGGTGCACCATGGATTGGTTGAATGACCACCATGGCTTTTTATCAAGTGCATTAGCACGCTGGGCAAATTCACCCATTTTTTTAAATGTCCAGGTATACCCATTGACCTGAAAAGGTCAGAGAACACTCATTTAAACATACAAAAAGAAAAGCGTGCTGGGTTGTTGCTCCAAGTGCAGTTTGTTCCCTTCTTCCAATCACAGATTTAACATCCACCTGGCTAAGGATTAATAGTTAATTACACTTATGCATACACTGCAATAGTAAAAGGTGGAAGGAAATGGTTGGACAATAAATAAAGAAGAGCAGTGAAGATCCCATCTTTCCCATTCCTACAGAACAGCTGCTTTTAAGTGATTTGTGGTTTCTCCAGCTTGTTGGGCATGTCGCTTTCATGCCTGCACACAAAACCACAGTAAAATGCTTGAAAAGCATTTGGAGTTCTTACTTATGGATAATTTATGTCTGCATGTGTTGTCTCATTTTTGACAATAATAAACAAACAACATTGCCACTCACAGCACAATGGAAATGCAAATTTATTCAGAAGTAAGCAGTGATGAGTCACATGGGGTTTAATCCTTGGTAAACATGTACAAGAATGCAGTATTAAGCTTGTTGATTTGCTCTTAAACCAGCTGAATTGCATTAAGGTCAGTTATCAACCCAGCAACTCTGGCTTTTGTGTTGGGTTGAAACCTAAGATATTCACACAGCATTCCTTTTAAAACAGCACCATGCTAGTCTGAGAACAAGTACATTCTACCCAAGAAAAATCCATCAGGCATTGATTTGACACATTGATCTCAATTGCCTGCTAGTCAGACAATTGCAAATGAGACTCTGGAAACGATTTTAAGAAAACTTACACTCCACCTTTCCACTGCAAAATAATGCCCAAGGTGGCTAACAGCATCCAAAAATACAATATCAAAACATAATAAACAATGCAACAGTATGCACAGTGAATGATTTTGACAGCTCTGTATATTGGCTGCCACATAGCCTCATGTGCTTGGAATACAATCCCCATCATTCCCAATCACTGATTAGGGAGGTTGGAATTAAAGTCCAAGCACAGCCAGGAGGCAGCATGCTAGGAAAGGCTGATGTAAGACTATTTTGATGATGTACAAGATGAAATCTGGCATATACCAAGAATCGTCCTAACATCCTCTTAGCTGCTGACAACATGTGCACAATGACTAATAAAATCTAAGAAGACAGAACAGACCAGTAATTCTCCACAGCCTCCTACAGAGGTAACAGAAACAGAACATTATGTCATGTTTATATAAATTGTTCCAAATGATTTGGCCTTTCTTGGTATAGAGCTGGAATTCTAGAACTCAATCTCTATAAATCTTTTCAAAATGCATTTTCAGAAACTACTGGTTATTTCACTATGTACTTACTTACTTACTTAGAATTTTTGTATGCTGTCCCATTCGCATGAGCCTCAGGATGGCTTACATACAATAAATAAACACAGTACAAATAGTGCACATAAAATCCAGATTCACCCTGGCAACAAAATAAAAACCTATAGATGATATTAAAAATTGTTAAAATATTGTTTAAATAAAAAGGTCTTAGCCTTGCGCCGAAAAACAAATAACGATGGTGCCAGACGAAACTCTCTGAGGAGCGCATTCCATAGGTGGGGCGCCACCGCAGACAAAGCCCTCCTCTGGGTACTTAGCCTCCTAATGTCTTTCACGGAGGGTTCCCGGAGGAGGGCCTCTGCTGCCTATCTCAGGGGGTGGGAGGGCAAGTATGGAAGAAGGCGCTCCTTCAGATAACCAGGTCCCAAGCCATTAAGGGCTTTACAGGTGATAACCAGCACCTTGAATTGAGCCCGGACTTCGATGGGGAGCCAGTGAAGCTGGTAGACGACTGAGGTTATGTGGTTCTTCAAGTAGCTTAAATAAGGGATTTGATTACCCGTATCTCCTTTAGTGTACAAGGTTGCCTACCCTCCTGCTACTCCAGCCAACAGACTATAGGATTTGGTGTAAGCCCTCCCATGCTAATGGAATGAATGACACGCCACCATGATAGCAGGTGTGCCAGTAGAACATTGGTGGTGTTGCTGCTGCTCGGCCAGCGAAGAGATGGAGAGGCAATGAAGCCTGCTGAGATGCAAGCTGGCATGGCTGCCCTAGCAGGCAAAATATGAATCAAAACTGTGGCCAGGAGATCAGTCACATAGGAGAAGAGGGCTGCTTAGCTCATGAAACAGTCTTCCCAATAATCTCAAGCATGCCTGGGATGGGGTCCCAACTTCCCTAGTATGAGATAGTATCCTGGATTCAAACCTGAATTCTCCTCCATGTAAAACCTGGGCTGTTCTAACAGAGTGGAGCACCTTCTGAAGCCCCTGTGCTCCTGATGGCAGAGACTTAAGGATGGCTGTTGGGCCCAGGAAGGAGGCAGAGAGATATGTCCCATGACATACTCAATACCTAAGTGCCTGCTAATGTGGCTGTGTGGACAGGGAGCTGCTTTTGTGAAGCTTGTAGTATGGGTTCATGTCCTAGGAAATCCCTTTATTTTGTTCTATTTGTTCACCTCTATTTGGAGAGGTGAGTGAAGAGGAGGCATTTCCCATCTAGTAATCTTTGTGGGTGCTTTGTAAGGGTTGTCTTTCCTCCCCTTGGTATGGTGTGTTTTAAAACCATGCATGCGACCCCAGCCTGAAGGAATGTCTGGACACTGGTAGCGGTGGACGCATTGCTGGTCATGCCACAGGGTCAGATGAGGGGGCAGCACTTTGTTTCACATGCACTGCAACGCGGGGAGACGTACACATCTTTTTGAACTGATTTGCTCTCTCTGTGTGTGAACAGCACACAGACTTCAACTCCAGTTCAGTCACTGAATGGTGTATTTTGACGCTGTCTCCAGAAACAATGGGAGCATGTCACCAACAGCCATCCTGGGCCACTTACCTCTGTCAGATATCCAGTGGCATTCACAAACTTCTCATATTCTGCATTGCTGACTTCATAGCGATCCATGTAGAAATGGTGGATATGGACTCTCCTTGCAGGCCATTCACCATCTTGTCGTATAGCTGGCTCATCAGTTCCCATTGTAAACACTCCAGCAGGAATAGAGGCCATCTGCAAGTTCAAGGTGATAATTTTAGGTATGTCTAGAGCAGCAGAGCCCTCCACTGTCTTTCCACATTGAGGTGTTGCTTCGAGCCTTGTGGTCTTAAATATTCAGAATTTCCTCTAGAAACCTTTTATTTTCACAGTGATGATAGTATCTAAAGTAGTCCTCATTTTATCAATGAGATAAGAACACCAAAGGACAACAAGATTGCTCTAGCTGTTGATTCGCATGTGAAGAACTGATCCAAAAAGTGTGCAGTGTTCTCAGGCAGACAAAATAGTTGTTGGGTAACTTGCAAGGAAGAACTGGGTGAACAGGAATCAGAAAAGATTGGCTGTGTTCCGGAAAAGGCTACAAAAGTAGAGGTGTTCTTCAAATTATAGGAAACAGGATAGAAGAAGCAGATGGGAGAGGGATGCTAATCGGTTTGAGCCACTTCATACATTCAATAAGTCCAAATACTTTACACAGGGCTAGGTACAGCCCAAAATGTGTGTCATTTTGTACAACTGACTTGAATAGTATTCACACAATACAACTAACACGTAAGTGACCTTGAGAAACCTACACAGGTGTTGTTATATGTTATATGCCAACTACATGAATTGGACCTCACTGCAAAGGACAGAAAGGAAGAATGGTCGACAAAGACGCCTGTTAGCCATGACTAAATGATTACCTCAAGAACACAGCTTGCCTTGCTAATCAAAATTAATAGTCTATCCCAAACTATCTTCTCTGCTGGATCAGACAACTATGGCTCTGGTTTAGTTCTGATTCCAATATATACTTTTTAAATCATCTTGCCTATCCTATGTATGGTAAAAATATTTAGGATTACAGTTCCAGGCTGCACCACCTGAATGAGCATTTTTCCCAGTTATGTGTTAGTCGTGAAGTCATGTCCAACCCATCATGACCCCATGGACAACATTCCTCCAGGCTCTCCTGTCCTCCACCATCCACTGGAGTCCACTTAAGCTCACGCCGACTGCTTCAGTGACTCTATCTAGCTACTGGACCCATCATCCTCTGCCAACCCCTTCTTCTTTTGCCATCAATTGTTCCCAGCATTAGGCTCTTCTCCAGTGAGTCCTTCCTTCTCATTGGGTGGCCAAAGTATTTGAGTTTCATCTTCAGCATCTGGCCTTCTAAAGAGCAGTCAGGGTTGATATCCTCTAAGAATGACCTTGCGGTCCAAGGGACTCGCAGGAGTCTCCTCCAGCACCACAATTCAAAGGCCTCAATTCTTCGGCGCTCAGTCTTCCTTATGGTCCAAGCTTTCCCAGCAACTGGGAAAAACACAGCCTTGACTATACAAACTTTTGTCGGCAGGGTGATGTCTCTACTTTTTAGTATGCTGTCTAGATTTGCCATAGCTTTCCAGCTACTAATTTGTTAAGAGAACACGGGCATCTTAAAAGTTCAATGGAAAGACTGAGAGTAGCAGACACTGTCTCACAACAAAGCAGTAAGAGAAAGATTTGTTCAATTTAGCTCTAGCCACGCCAAGTTGTGAGCAGAATGGCCTCTCCCACGTGGCAAATGTAGTTGTCTTACAGTGAGGCTTCTGCAATGCTTGTAAGAACCACCATGTTGTACTGACCATCTGTGATCATGGAATCCAATGACAGCCTGAACGGGTGTTTGTCAAAGTCTGGTTTGCACTACACCTACGACAATATGCTAAGCCTGGATGTCTTCATTTCCTTTTAACATTAGCAAGGTCCTTTTTTGTTTTGGTTTGGTATTTTGATTTTTAAAAAGGCTTAGTTTTGACAGGTGAAGAGATTTGAGTAACTACTGGACTATGGTCAACAAATGGCAAGTTCAATAAGAGACTGATGATCAAGAAGAACAGCATCAACTTTCCCCAAATTGTCTTCCAGATACTTTGGACTACAGCTATTATTAGCCCCAACCATCATGGCCAACAGTCAACTGTGCAGGACAGTTTCATCCAAAATGTTGAAGAGCACTACGTTGGAGGAGGATGAGCTATACAACCAGAGAATTCGTCCCTGGGTCTGGGAGGTGGTGAATGTCTCCTTGAGAGAGGGAGTGGTGTGTGCCCCTCTAAAGACTGCGGTAGTGACACCACTTCTTAAGAAACCACACCTGGAACCAGAAGATATAAATAACTAATGACATATTGCCAACATTCTCTTCCTGGGTAAGGTAGTTGAGTGGGTCATAGCTAGGCAGAACCAAACATTCTTGGACAAAATGGATTATTTGGGTTCTTTCAATTGGGTTTCAGGCCTGGTTTTGAACAGAAACTGCCTTGGTGCCCTGTGGGATGACCTTTCCCAGAGAGAGACAGGGGAAGCATAACCCTGTTGATTTACCTGGACCTCTCATCAGTTTTTGATACCATCAACCATGGTATCCTTCTGGAGAGGCTGGTTGGGTTCGGAGTTGGTGGCACCACTCTACAGTGGCCCCACTCCTATCTGTCCAACCATCTCCAGATGGTGGAGCTGGAGAACTGTTGTCCTGCACCATGGCACTTGTTCCAGGGCACTCTGCAGGGTTCCATTTTGCCCCCCATGTTTTTCAAAATCTACATGAAACCACTAGAATAGATCATCCAGAGGTTCGGTTGAAGTGTCACCAATATGCAGATGACACTTAGGCCTACCTCTCATTTTCATCCAATCCAGGCATGGCAGTGACTGTTGTAAACCAGTGACTGAATGAGGGCTAATAAATTGAAGCTCAATCCAGACAAAGATGGAGCTGCTGGTGGGTAGTGCACCTAACGGAAATTTTCAACCTGCCCTGGACAGGGTTATGCTCTCCCTAAAGGACAAGGTTCATAGCTTGGGAGTGCTCCTTGTCCCCAGGTTGTCACTTGTTTCACAGGTGACCTCAGTGGTCAGGCACGTTCCATCAGGTAAGGCTGATTTTTCAACTTCATTCCTACTTGGACAAGCAAAGCCTTGACACAGTTATTCACACACTGGTGATCTCTAGCCCCAGTTATTGTAATGCGCTGTAATGGGGCTGCCTTTGAAGTTGGTCCAGACACTCTAAATCTATTCAAAACAGAGCAGTGTAGCTGTTAAGGAGGACTGCCGGTCCTCCATGAGGTGCAGTGGCTGCCTATTATTGCCTGGACCCAATTCAAAGTGCTTACGTTAACATACAAAGCCCTAAACAGCTCACGGCTGGGATATCTTAAGGAACACCTGTCTTTGTATATCCTACCAGACCACTAAGGTCTTCAGTGGAGGCTCTTCTCTGTGAGTCACAGGGAGTGCCCTGTGAAGCAAAGGAAGAAATGGAAAGAAGGGCTTTCTCTGCTATTCCATCTCACTTGTGGAAACCCCATCCCAAGGAGATGTGGCTGGCAATCTTGCTACTTGTGTTCCATCACCGGGTGAAGACAATTTAATTTAATACTTGTTTTTAGTAGTGTTTTGGGATCTATTTTGTTAATATTCTATTATGTTAATATTGCCTCTACTTTCTGCTGTTCTCATTCATTTGTTCTCCTGTCTCAAATTCTATACAATTTGGATTTTATGTTGTATATTAGACTTTACAGTTTTAATCTTGTTTTATGGTATTACAATTTTATGTGAATTATTTTTGCTGTTTTTGTGAGCTGCCCAGGAAGCCTATGGGACGGTTATGGGATGGCATACACATGCAATAAATAAATCAGTAATAAACCAGAGCTAGATCCTGATGGAAAGTCACCAGACAAGTGGCCGTGTCCTGTGTGTATTTGTTTTAAAGTAAGTCACCCTGGATAAGAAAAGGTTCTGGTGACAGCCCTCCATTAGAAAAACCAATTCCCACTCTGTTTCTCATACCTTTGTAGGTCTGGCTACCTTTACAAAGGGACAAACTTGTAACATGAGATGATCTGATCTTACAATTCTTGTAAGTTCAGTGTAAAGAAACCACATGGGGTGCTAATCCGTCCTCTCCTCTCCTCTCCTCAAGAGAGCAGTGTGCTGGAGTTCCAGGGAACACCTCTTTTCCCAGTGCCATTATACCAATTACTGTTGTTGCTGATGGTGTAGCTATTATTTCATTGCTTTCTGAGCAGTTTACAACAAAGTATAATCCAACTGAAATGCCTGCAGCTACTCTAAATTAAAACTTTTCAAAAGATCCGATCACCAGTCTCCCACATCACACTTAGCTCCCTCACAACAGGTGCAAGAAGATGCGTGTGACACTTTACACTTATGAAGTAGATAATGTCCATGGGCAGAATAAATAAGCTGGTTAGGCTTTAAAGGAGTCACAAGGCTCTTTGCTGTATTTGCAAAGCTAACACAGCTAACTTTCTGGATATAACTAAAATTCAAAATATTTATAATATAGTCATAATTAGGAAGAGTTGTCTAGAAGTGGAAAATTACAGACCAAGGGTACAACTTTAAGTAGACTTATCTGAGTATAAGTCCACTGAGCACAATGGAAATTAAGATTGTACTGTGCATTTTTCTATATTTCTGGCAAAGATACGATTTTGTATACAAAAAAATAAGAGTCATTTTCCATTTCACTTCCATACCACTCCATAGCTAATGTTCTGTGGAATAGAGTTAACTGCTTTCTATTTCTGCATTCTAGAACAGGAGTGTCATTTTTTTTTCTTTCAGAATCCTGGCAGTACTCCTTCGCCTTCATACAGTCATCTAACAAACAGAAATTCAACTGGCAGAACTTTCTATGAAGCCATATATAAAATATGCACAAAAATTAGTGGCATGTTTAAGTAGCACTGAGAAGGGTTGAAAGGAATAACAGAGACAGCTGAAGAAGTGTTTCCAACAGGAGTTCACTTATCTCTGGAGTAGATTTGAAATTAGCAATATTACTCAAGAACAGCAAGTGCCTAAATGCCTGGAGATCAATGTCTACACAATGCTGCAGATGGAGGGTTCTATACCCTCGATCTTGGTTTATTGCTCATGGTCCTCCTAAGGGGAAAGCATTGTACTAGGTGCTAGAGTTCTTTTGATCTAAATTAAGCGTGCAACAG